GCTACAATACTCATACTTTATAATTTTAAAACATTTTAACAGTTGCTCAGTCTACCAGACTAAAAAAGTCAAAGTTTTTGTCTGTCAGATGTCTGAATACTTAACATGTATATTGCATTTGGTCACAGGTTCTGGTTGTAGCAAAAGCATCAGCAATAGACGATTTTTCATTGGCTGGTTCTTGTTCTGCAAATGGCTGTGTCCAATAGATCATCAGATGTCCAGAAGCTAGGGACAAACAAAAACAAAAGAAAGAATCATGAGTATCTGTCTCATTTAGCACTCATCAATGTATAATTCTAAAAATATAAACATCACTCCCCAGTTTTTTCTCTCAGGTCCTCAGGTCCTCAGGGTCCTCTGAGGGTGAGTCTCAGTCGTCATCAGGTCAGGTCATATTTCGAGAGATGTCATCTTGGACATCAGTAGGGTCCAAGCCATGGTTCTGGTCTCTCCAGATGCACATCAGGATCTCCAGATACAGTCTTTTCACTTGAAGCACATCAGGTCATTTGCGATGCACTTCTGGTCAATGGTGCAGTGTCTCAGTTCCTGTACACAGCTTGTTATGCAATAGTTACTTTCTATGGTTAGTCACTTTGATTCTAATCCTAATCAATGTAATTACTTCACACAGTACAAAATCAACAAATCAAAAGTGTCAGGACAGACGTCAATTAAGTCCATGACAATATAGAATTCAAATGAACATTTCTGGTCTCAACAAATACTGATTCAAATAAAGATTCAAGTGATAGACAATTAAAAATGTGTTTACATTGGAGTAAACTTTTAAAATGCTTTTTTCTCAAGTTCTGCTTTTTCATGTATCTATATGTAAATGTGAATGTGTGTGTAGATGTATGTGTGTATGTAGGATGTGAATTTTGGGGTTGTGTCTCCAGACTCCTCGAACCACCTGCAGGTCTCAAAGGTCACACTGGCTCGATGTAAACAAGCAAAGTGAGCACACTTCCAGATTGCAAAACAACTCACCCACCACTGCCTACAGAAAACCCCACTTTGTGGCCCCGGTCTCACTGCCACTTACGACCATCGGTCTGTAGTGGGGGAGGGGCACACGGAGGTAGCTATGTCGCTTTTACGATCTGCGGCTGGTTGGATGGTGTCTACTCTCGGCCACTGTTCTGATCCCTCAGTGTCCACTCCCGCAGTCCAGTGACCCTGTACAGTGTGTGCCCTTGGTTCTGGAAAACAACCTTATAGTCAAATTAAAAACAACAGAGATTGTGAATGAGATTGTTTTTCTCTCTAAAGTCAAAACAATTTTGGAGCGCTCTTGGCTTTCCAAGCGCTATGTAAATAAAGATGACTTATTATCTTACTAATGATGACACTTTTAAGACCAGAAACTCTCTTAATAAAAAACAAGACTCAAATCTAAAAAAAACCTTCAAACTTTAAAATGTGTACTACGTACTTTTGCACTGTGTGTTTAATTATCTTGAACATTTATCTCAGCATATATTCTACTAATTTAAAATAATTGCAGCATTTTCAAATTAAGTCAATATGAATTGGAGCACATTTTAGAGCCAGGCTCCTCTGCTGTGTGCATCAGCAGCAGGAGGAAGGTCAGGTGCATAGTCAAAACAAAAAAGTCAGCGCTTGAATGTGAATTGGGTAGAACTCAATATAATACTTTTACAGCTAATCCTAATTCCCTCTTTCTTTTTTAGACAAAGTCTATAATCAATAATCACTTTTAACACAGATTCTAATTTAAATACTTGAAAAACGGCTTTTGTAACTAAACTAAAAACATAAACACAACTCACAAAAAGGTAAGAAATAAGCAGCAGATTTAAAAGAATGGAATCTAAAAATATGTTAGGTCTAAAAATAATTGCACAGCTTTAGCACTAATATTTGGGTTTCAAAAAACATATAATATTCCCTTACTCACTAATGGTGTTTAAAAACGTTTAACTGTGTCATAACACAATGTTCAATTGCAAATTTAGCAAATTTAACGGAATAAAAACTATGAAAAGCCAGAAATCCTAAAGCAGTAGCTTTGCTCTGATTCAGAGCCAGAGCAGCGAAGGAGGGGGCCGTTTCCCCTGACAACGGCAGCAAGATAGTGCGGCGCACACACACAGGCAGAAAGTAGTGTTTTAGCAAAAATGCTAAAACAGAAAGAAGAATAACTTTCAAGATTACTTTTTTAAGCAAATATAACTTATGTTGTTCTTTATACTTTTGTCATCCAAGTCTAGAAGTGATCACTTTCCACACTTGAAACAAAAGGCACCCTTAGTGTTTAATTTCCCTTACGCTTCTATTTTATTGAGGTAGCAAACTAGTTTAAACTCAAAATCTCTTTCTAATAAACAAAAACAACTGTTGGATACAACCCTCTCATAGCTTAACTGTAGATAAAACTCGCCAAAAAATGTAAATAACTCACGAAAGCTCTCATAGCTCAACTTTAGATAAAACTCTGCATTCTCAGGTGAACTCTGTTCACTCCAAAAACAAAAACTCTTTTCTTTTTCTGTATGTAATTTAAACCGTGATCACTGAAATATTGTTGCTTCTTTACTTTTGTCATTTATCAAGCTTGGAATTGGTTAATTACAAAACTTTTTGTGACAAAAGGCCTCCTTAACACGTTTCCCTTTTTATTGCTTTTAATTTTACACCATGGTTTCACTTTTTGGATCCTACACTTTTATGGCCTTTACACTTTATGGATCCTATACACTTTATGGCCTACACTTATGGATCCTATACACTTTATGGCCTACACTTATGGATCCTATACACTTTATGGATCCTCACTTATTTGAACACAATTTAGAGAGTTCGACAGACCTCAAAAACAGACCAAAATTTAGCTAGTATCCAATTATGCAGACTTTACATATAAAAGGTGTCTGCTTACCTTATTCTTGTCAAACAGGTGCATGCACGGACTGTCTGAGAGGTCTGCCAACTCTTTTCCGCGTCGGAATATTCAATTTAAAAAACAAAAGTGACAGAAGCGACAAGAAGCATCCAGGAACAGCTCTTCCAGCCTGCTGGAATCTCCGCTCCCAGACGCAGCATGCCGATCTCTCACGCCGAGGAAAAGAAACAAAGAAAACTCCCTCAAAACAATCCAGAGAATGGCACACACGGAGCCGCACATTCTCCACCAAATCTGTCAGGATTCAGCAGACAGAGATGGATCGTGGTGCGCCAAACTCTGGAAGTTTATTTAAGTTTCTCTCAAGTTCCACTGGTTTACTTTGTTTCTTTCTCCCAGACAGAATAAAGGCAGTACACAGTTTATATAGTCATTGTCACGTCACACATCGAAAGACATACATGTCACAAAGAGACAGTTACATTATAGTCAAAACATGGAGTCCTTGTAGAGTCCTTGTACAGTCCTGCACGTAGGCCATATTGCTATCTAATACTAACACCCTAATACTAACATAACGCTAGCTGCAAGTTTTACAGCTTACCATGATCCGTTAAAACCAACATGTTAACATTCTTAGCATTTACAATTGATGAAGCCTTGGCCCCTAATCAATGTGGTTAATGAGTTGATACCAGCCCCAACCCTCCAGATTATTCATATTTTGCGCTGTTACTGCCCCTGAGCAATATGAAGTTCACCTCCGTGCTGCACTCATCCTTGGTTGTTAGACGTAGCAGACCCTGTTGCTCCCTCTGGGCCTCAATCTTTTATTTGTGAGTAAATTTGACACATTACTTTTACTCACTAGTTCAGTAACTTTAGTTAGTCTGTTGTTAAGCATGCTAACCAAGTTCAGCTAGCGGGACCTAGCACACAGAAAATCCAATAAGCTAGGCCTAATTAAATGGTTTATCAGATCAATCTCCCAGTCACATGACCCATAGCCGCGTGTCAGCCATTTTGACGGATTTTCCTTTTGTCTGATCACGTGTCTGGTCGCATCCAACTGCACAGCATTCACAACGACCTGTAGTATCACCGGCGGGTTTGCATTTTCTATTCCGTCAAGATGGCTGCTCCAAATGGCGTGACGTCACGCGGGACATCCCTATACAAATAAAGCAGATGAAATATGTAATAAAATAACGTAAAATAAAATAAAGTCAAATGCATTATTTTCTGTAGAATAAAACAATACCAGAATTTAAAACATAAAATTTGAACCAACCACACTGCCAAAAAAAACATTTTTAGAGAGGGACAACAAACATCTTCTTATGAACACATTTCATGGAATTAATATTTCTTACACGATATACCTGATTTTGAGCCACGTTGTTAATGTTGATGCCCTCTGCCATGTTTAGTTTTGCAGAAATGAAGTTTATCAACTCTGCGCAGGCTCGATTGTTAATGTCTGTGAGCAGTGACGTAATAGTAATATATACAGTCTATGCGTAATATTGGCAGTTTGCTGACTGCTGAAATTCGTATTCTCAAAGAAGAAAATGCAAGCACACAAAAACATTGTATTCACAAGTACGAAATCACTAATATAGTTTTATAGTTTTTTATTCTTAATTACAGAATTAGATGTCTTTTGAGTTTGTATTATCTTAATCATGAATTAATAAAATATTTTGATGCACAAATAAAAAAATATGCACACTTTTTGTTTTTTTTAGACATACACGTCTTTATTGACAGTAACCTTGCGCAGACAGACGCATGTCACACATACAAACTGACGTCACACAGAATTGCAGAGGCCATGACCAAATTCAAATGTAGTACCACCGAAAAGGTTGGGAGGGCGCCACACAGACGTTTTAAGGCTCAAAAGTGAGATTTTATCTAATTTGCTCAAAAATGTAAAAAGAAAATGACCAGGATATGTAGAGAGTACTACAATGAACATATTTATGCAGTTTATGAGATAAGAAAAGTTGATTTGGTGTTTAGTCGCTCTTTAATGTATTTTTGTTTTATTTTGTTTTATTTTATTGTCTAACTTCCGGGTTAGCTTTTCCACTTCCGCAAACGTCACTCCACTCGGAACCACAACATGTCAGGAGCGAGCGACACTTTCAAACCCGTTTCTCATGTTATTTTCGACATGGACGGACTTTTGCTGGGTACGAACTTTAAAAAAACATATATAACTTTAATATATACGTGTGCAGTCATTCTAATTTATGAAATACCCAGATTTGTCCGCTAATGTGCTACAAGCTGTTACAAGTTCAGCACTCGCCATTCCCCGTCTACAAAAGTTCTTTCTATATGCTTACATTTCATTTGAACATTTCCAGATTACTTGGTCAGATTAATAAAATGTATAATTCCTACAAAGAATTCGGCTTTTACTCTGGTCAGTTTCTGGTCGTAATTCTAAAGCAATGTACTAACAGATAGTTACCGTTCTTGTTGACCAATGCATTGACAACGATTAAAACAAACAGCTCGAGTCAATGTAGTCCGGCGTCAGATGAATACGTTTTACTTCGGTTTAGATTCACTTTTGAATTAAATGTAATATAATATAATTATATAGACAAATATAATTTAATATAGACATTAAAACGTACAATTATATACTTTTTGTGCAAACAATTGTAAATAGGAATTTACTCTTGACTGGGGAAGTTACATATTGATGGAAAATTCTATATACCTCGGATCTGTATCAGCATTCTTGGGTTAAAGCTGAGGTACGTAATTAAAAAAAAAAAAAAAAAGCATATGTTTTTGGCTTCTGTCAAATCACAAACAGGACCAACCTCACTGCGGCATCAGTGCTCAGCCAAAGAGCCAGATAGTGAGTTTAGACTTGCCTTAAGTCCGGATTCAGACCTTGTTTAGACCTACCTAAGTCCTGGTTCAGACCTGGTTTAGTCCTGGTTCAGGCTTGGTTTAGAACTGTTTTAGACCTGGTTAAATCCTGGTTTAGTCTTGGTTTAGACCTGCCTAAGTTCTGGTCCAGGCCTCGTTCATCGTCACTGGTTAGGTCTGATTTGTTCATAACATTTACAGAACTATCTCTGTTGGACAAACATTTATTAAGAAGAACAAAGTTAGGTCCCTCAGCTTCTGAGGGAATCTAACACATTTATTTGTGTAATTGTATAAAAGTCTCACGTCTGGGTTTTACTGTTCAGATATCTCACACTTGTCAGACCCCGTTAAAGATGTGACAGTGTTTGATTGACGTCTTCGTAGTGAGGAATAAAATAAGATGTTTTTTAGTTCTGCTGAAGTCCATAAAACTGGATCATGGCACGAAACCAGATCCACTTTATAAAACTGACATTGATGGGATGGAGAATTTGTTTTGTCTCTCTCTAGCCTCTCTGCTTTCTCTAGTCTCTCTGCTCTCTCTGGTCTCTACTCTCTCTCTCTGGTCTCTGGTTTCTGCTCTCTCTCTCTGGTCTCTGCTCTCTCTCTGGCCTCTGGTCTCTGGTTTCTCTCTGGTCTCTGCTCTCTCTCTCTGGTCTCTGGTCTCTCTCTGGTCTCTACTCTCTCTCTCTGGTCTCTGGTCTGATTCTGGTCTCTGCTCTGTTTTTCTGGTCTCATTCTGGTCACTCTATCTTCCCTCAGACACAGAGAGAGTCTACACAGACTCGTTCCAGCAGGTGTGTTCTCGGTTCGGTCGTTCATACACGTGGGACCTGAAGTCTAAAGTAATGGGGAAGAAGGCTCTGGACGCAGCAGAAGTCATCAGGGACGAGCTGGAGCTGCCCATGTCTGCTGAGGAACTGCTGAATGAGACCAGAGAGATCCAGGAGAGACTGTTCCCCCTGGCCCAGCTGATGCCAGGTACTGCTGCTGCTGCTACTGCTGCTGCTATTTATAATACGATTGTTCTTACTACTACTGCTGTTATGACGAGTTGGATTTCCTCCAGTATACTGTAATCATTTTTCCACATTGTAGTGGCTGGAAAAGGGGTATTTTTTTTTCACTTCAAAAATGCAGTTACATCTCCAGCGATGTTTTCATGTGATTCAAATAAACAATTTTCATGTGAGAAACTCACAAGCAGATGTAGTTCATGCAGCTTCTGAATCACAGTCATGTTCAATAGATCTCCAGAACAATTGTGTTTCAGTTTCAGACCATTTCATCTTCTCACGACAGAGGACATCCTATGTTTACATCAGAGAACTACGGACAGAAAGAAAGCGGCTGCACTTTAGACTTCACAGCTTTTTATTCAAAAACAAAATGTTTTCATCAGTTGTAAGTTTTTGTCAGTTTTAGACTAAAAAAAGTAACTTGTTTGGTTCATCCTACACAGATTAGATTGTATATAAAGTCAGATTTATAAAGTCACAGGAGCATGAAAACACATATGTTCACAAGCACTATGTCCCCCATTGTCAACCCTGGTTTAGTCCTGATGTAGCTCCTGTTTTGGCTGTTTACGAGTATGTTCAGTCTGCTCGCTCAGTCCGCTAATGTCCCCGTGACCACTTTGTGGCTCTCTGATTGGTCGCTGCACGAGCGTCCCGAGGAAATGCTCAGCAATATTTATCCCCTGCGTGCGTCAATTTTCCGCTCCTGCTCCTCTGCCGCGCAGTCCGTCCGTGCATCCCGAGATGCACATGCAGTTCGACGCTCGAACGCGCGTCACTGTTGACTTTGCATTGAAAGTCGACGCAACGTATGATCCGGTCTGAACGCGGCCTAACCCAGACTCTGACTTCTCCTTCCCTACTGTGCCATCAGGAGCAGAGCGTCTGGTCCTGCACCTCCATCAGTGCTCTGTCCCCATCGCTGTAGCCACCTCCTCCTCTTCCTCCTCCTTCTCCCTGAAGACCAGCAGACACCAGTCCTTCTTCTCCCTGTTCCACCACCTGGTCCTGGGGGACGACCAGGAGGTGACCAGAGCCAAACCCCATCCCGACCCCTTCCTGGTGTGTGCGTCCAGATTCAGCCCAGCTCCCATACCCCAGAACGTGAGTCATGTAGAGGCAGGTTTATTTGTATAGCACAGGTCAGGGGGGGGGAGAAGAGGGAGATTAAGCAGAGAATGGACTTGCATGTTTTAGTGCTTTCCTGTCACTCACAGTTCAGAGCGGATGGAGGGATTCACAAATACGCCTTTTCAAAGACTTCAGAGTCCAAATGAAATATATACAGTATAAGTTAAAATGGCTTTCTCTAGTCTAGACTCTCTATCTGCTCTCTCTTTCTAGTCTCTCGCTCTGCTCTCTCTCTGTTCTCTCCGTGCTCCATCTGGTCTCTCTCTCTGTTCTTTCTCTCTGGAATCTCTTTGGTCTCTCTCAATGCACTCTTTCCCTGATGCTTCAGTCTCTCCCCAAACAGGAAAGTGAATAAACTCAGTCTCCACATGTCGCTACAATATCATCCAAGGACAAATGCAGTTTAATTATATCCTTATCGAGTCTGAGAGGTGGAACCCGAGAGGTCGATCAATCGACGATTCATATCTTCTGAGCCTCCAATCAATGCAGCCCAATCAATGGCTTTAATAAACGTATGCGCGGATGTGCAGTAAAGCGAGTCCCAAACAACATCTCAAATATGCAGCAGGTTTAAAAAAAGGAGCAGGAGAGCTTTTTGACAAACTCAAGGACAAAGGCATCGATTTTATTGGAGAAAATATGAAAAGTGAGAGACAGAAATTTGGTTGGTTATGGTTGGACGCAGTGAAGGGAAACTGGGGAGAGGGCAGTGAGAGCAGCAGCAGCAAATTAATAAATGATAGTTATTTAAAGGTATCTAGAAGATTTTCACTTTTTTTCCAGACAATAGAGACTTAAGATATGATAAGAATTCCTTTATTCGTCCCACAGTGGGGAAATTTCCATGTTGCAACGCACATACAGGACAGTAGCAAGAGCACACAGGGAGCACACAATATATACAAGTGAGTAGTAGCTACAGTGCCTTGAACCTTTCAACATTTCGCCACATTTCAGGCTTCAAACATAAAGATATAAAAATTTAATTTTTTGTCAAGAATCAACAAGTGGGACACAATCGTGAAGTGGAAAAAAAATTATTGGATAATTTAAACTTTTTTAACAAATAGAAAACTGAAAAGTGGGGCATGCAATATTATTCGGCCCCCTTGCGCTAATACTTTGTAGCGCCACCTTTTTCTGCAATTACAGCTGCAAGTCGCTTGGGGTATGTCTCTATCAGTTTTGCACATTGAGAGACTGGAATTCTTGCCCATTCTTCCTTGCAAAACAGCTCGATCTCAGTGAGATTGGATGGAGAGCGTTTGTGAACAGCAGTCTTCAGCTCTTTCCACAGATTCTCGATTGGATTCAGGTCTGGACTTTGACTTGGCCATTCTAACACCTGGATACGTCTATTTGTGAACCATTCCATTGTAGATTTGGCTTTATGTTTTGGATCATTGTCCTGTTGGAAGATAAATCTCCGTCCCAGACTCCAACAGGTTTTCTTCCAGATCCTGTATTTGGCTCCATCCATCTTCCCATCAATTTTAGCCTCTTCCCTGTCCCTGCTGAAGAAAAGCAGGCCCAAACCATGATGCTGCCACCACCATGTTTGACAGTGGGGATGGTGTGTTCAGGGTGATGAGCTGTGTTGCTTTTACGCCAAACATATCGTTTTGCATTGTGGCCAAAAAGTTGGATTTTGGTTTCATCTGACCAGAGCACCTTCTTCCACATGTTTGGTGTGTCTCCCAGGTGGCTTGTGGCAAACTTTAAACGAGACTTTTTATGGATATCTTTGAGAAATGGCTTTCTTCTTGCCACTCTTCCATAAAGGCCAGATTTGTGCTGTGCACGACTGATTGTTGTCCTATGGACAGACTCTCCCACCTCAGCTGTAGTTATCTGCAGTTCATCCAGAGTGATCATGGGCCTCTTGGCCGCATCTCTGATCAGTCTTCTCCTTGTTTGAGATGAAAGTTTGGAGGGACGGCCGGGTCTTGGTAGATTTGCAGTAATATAATAATAATATTGCACGCCCCACTTTTCAGTTTTTTATTTGTTAAAAAAGTTTAAATTATCCAATAAATTTTGTTCCACTTCACGATTGTGTCCCACTTAATAAATAAAAATATTTTTTTTATATCTTTGTTTGAAGCCTGAAATGTGGCGAAATGTTGAAAGGTATACTTTCGCAAGGCATTGTATGTTTCTTAGCTAACAGAACTAGCTGTAGATGCTGAAAATGCTTCAGTACCAGTCAAAATATATATATGTAGTAGTAGTGCAGTTATATACTGTACAGTTAAATAGTGCAGGATAATAAGTAGATAAGTAAAGTGACATGAGGTAAAGTGACATTCTGAAGGAGCAGTATTGCACATTGCACATGATTTAAGAATTTACTTAATTACAGATGAATTAAATTTACAGGCTCAGCAGTTCTTATTGTACAGTCTGACAGCAGCAGGAAGGAAAGACCTACGGAACCTCTCCTTCACACAGCGAGGGTGAATTATTCTGTCACTGAAACTGCTCTCCAGAGCAGAGAGAGTGTCCTGCAGGGGGTGACAGTCATGGTCCACATAGATGTTAGTTTGCTCAGGACCCTCCTGTCCCCCACCTGCTGCACTGTGTCCAGGGAACAGCCCAGGACTGAGCTGGACTTCCTGATGACCTTGTCCAGCTTCTTCCTGTCCCTCTCTGTGATGCTGCTGTTCCAGCAGACCACACCGTACAAGATGGCTGATGCCACCACAGAGTCATAGAAGGTCTTCAGGAGTGGCCCCTGCACTCCAAAAGACCTAAGCCTCCTCAGCAGGTAGAGCCGGCTCTGGCCCTTCTTGAAGAGGGCGTCTGTGTTATGAGTCCAGTCCAGTTTGTGGTTAAGATGAACACCCAGGTACTTGTAAGAGTCCACTCTCTCAATGTCCTTTCCCTGGATGTTCACTGGGGCTGGAGCAGCAGAGTGACGTCTGCGGAAATCCACCACCATCTCCTTGGTCTTCACCGCGTTGATGAGGAGGTGGTCCCGCTGACACCAGTCCACAAAGTTCTGTATAACTCCTCTGTACTCTGCGTCATCGTCCTCGGAGCTGAGTCCAATGATGGCAGAGTCGTCGGAGAACTTCTGGAGGACACAACCGTCCGTGTTGTGTCTGAAGTCCGCAGTGTAGAGGGTGAAGAGGAACGGCGCGAGGACAGTTCCCTGGGGGGCCCCCACACTGCAGGTCAGGACCTCGCACACAAAGTCCCTTAGACAATATAGATGAAGATAACTTCTACTGGAAATGATCTAAGTTGAATTTCTCCAAAGAAAATCAAAACTTTTGCGACTGAAGCATTATTGGGAAGTCCAACATGGGCTTCCAGCGAACAACATAGTGTGAAAGAATCTCTCTAAAACCCTCTGACCTTGTGTGACGAGCACGTACGGCCAGAATCGTACGTCACATATCACCAGAATGATTGACCAATAGTCTCAGTGATCCACCCGGAAAAAGTATTTACCTCTGAGTGTGATGAACATACAGTATGGGCTTTTAACACAGGAAAGGTCCAATAACAATCGTTTCTGCTCTGGATTCAGGGTCCTTTGTCTCCTTTCTCTCCACAAAAGTGACCAATCAAAGCATTTCATAAAAATAAAAAAAAACATACATGATCTCATACAAAATACTTCTTAAATCATGATACAACAAACGATATTCATTCTCAACCAAAGATAAGTCACACAGTACATATTCTGTCCTCTTCTGGGACCCCCTCCTAGCGCCCTAGTTCTACCTCTAGGGGCAGCACTCCAGCTCTAGCAGTAGTAACAGTAGCAGTAGTAGAAGTAGTAGTTGTTGCACTAGTAGTAGCAGTTGTAGTATCTCTTCTTTCCTCTTTTCATCAGTCCCATTAAAACACTTTACTTCATCTAAACAACATGTATTATTTATAGCGCACAAAGTCAGGGACCTCAGCTGTAACCTGAAGTACGTAGCTCCTGAATCCTGTGCATTCAGTCGTTAGCGTTAGCCCGGTTCGAACAAGATAAATGACCCGCGTCGCTAGTTCAGGCTGTGCGGCTAACGGCGTCCGTGTCGCACATTAATCATGCTAATCCGTGGCTCTTGGGACACAGCGCTCGAGCCGCAATATTCAAATCAGAGCAATTACCTCCTGAACTATGTCTCCTCGTCGTCTTCTTGCCGCCGCCGTGACCTCAGCGCCACGGCCAAAGACAGCGCTCCGGAGGCTGCGCGGGAGAACCAGAGATAAGGTTGCACTATTAGCACAAAGGGAACACTTACGGTTTATGCTAATCTAAGAATCCTCCTGTTTGGAGCCGTGTGGGATTTAAAAAGAGCGAAACAAGCTTTTGTCAGGTAGAATTGCGCTTTTGACATTTGGAATAAGGTTAAAGTGAGATTTATTAAGTAGTGCTGTCAAACGATTAAACTATTTAGTCACGATTAATTGGATTAATGTCATTGTAACTTGGATTAATCACAATTAGTCGTATATTTGTCCCTGTTAAAAATGTAAAAAGCAAATATTAATCCAGTGTTTTTCAACCAGTGGGCTGTGGTATGTTTGTGTGCCTTGAGAGGATGGTTGGTGTTCCATTTGGTCAAAATACTGTGAAATTGGTAAAAATATTGAAAAAGTGAAGATTAGAAAGACTTTTTTGCCCTTTTTGATTTTCTTTTTCTGTTTCAATGAGAAAGGTGTGCCACGGCTCAAACAGCGCACGTTAATTATTTTTTTCATTAATCGCGTTAAGAAAAATAACGCATTGACGCATGTACGGAATGACCCGCCCATGCATCCCATAATAACAATAAGAATGGTTGTGTTTCTTAGTTTTATATTTTTAATAAATTTGCAAGAATCTCAAACTTTTTTAGTGTCATCATTATGGGGTGTTGTGTGTAAAACCCCAACATTGTGAGTAAAAAAATGAATTGAATCCATGTTGGAATAAGGCTGTAACATAACAAAATTGAAGCGCTGTGAATACTTTCCGGGTGCACTGT